GCATTTGGCGGGTACCTGAGTGAGGTCGTGCACGAGAACACGCCCCCACGGACAGAAAACGATGGTCTGGATGTCATGGTGGGGAAAAAGAAAGGCATTCAGGGCCACTACAACTCCTGCTACCTGGATTCCACCCTTTTCTGGTACGTTGTCTAAAAACGAATCTGCTGTAAATCCATATTCTATTGATGGATCACAGAAATCCTTATTGGCTGTTGATGCTCTCATTAAGTTCATTGGTTGTGTGTTTTGCTCTGCAGTCTTTTCTCCTTCAGTTCTGTACTGGACACGGTTCTGCTGAGGCCACGATCAAAGACTGACGTCGAGTATTACAGGGAGACTCAGGAGCTGCTACGCACAGAGATAGTCAACCCACTGCGCATGTAGGTCACACATCCCTGCTACAGCTGCTCACTCAGTACTGTCATCACCCGTAAGGTGTTTGCCCTTTTTCTAAGTTAGAATACTGACAGCTTTCCCTGAATCCATACTGCCCGCTGGTTTTCATGACAGCATTTTAAAACTAAGATTCTCTTGAGAAATGATGGTGTTTTAGCCTCTTCAGGCAAATCATAATATTAATGTTATGCTTCACCAAGGTGTTTGAGACCTCATACAATCTTTTAGTACTTGAACTATGTGTTGGGAACGATGCTCAGCTTCTATCTCAACTATTTTGAGGTTAATATCTACAACAATAATGGGCAACTTAAATGATGGAAGGGGCCACAATATTTTGTTGACCTATGTTGAAATGATGACATCACTCGAGACCTGAACACTCTTCCTCACTGGCCAGGCGACGTCAGCGTAGGCAGCTTCATCTGGTGGCAAACTTTGTCCTTACAACCAATCCAGTTGTCCATTCCTGATCTATAAAATTGATGGAGTGATATTTATCTTTGTGTTTTGAGATTAATTTGACGCGGCAACCATCTTGAATTGCATTTACTTCAAAACTAAATCAGTTCTAGATGGGCATCTGATGACTACTTCCTGAGACTTTCATTCATATTTATCCAGTGGTTCACGTGATATTTTGCTCAGACAGATATTAAAGTAAAGACAAAGTTTTAGACACAGCTCTGATGAGATATGTTAGTGCTTTAAAATGTATAGAGAGGATGACTCGGCTACTACGTTTTTGGGCAATAAAAAAGAGGAGTAATTGCTTTTGTTTGCTAAGATCACTTGGCTATCTTGAATCGAGTTGACTTTAAAAGTAGATCAATTGTAGGTACATGTCCAGTGATAAGTTTCCAAGAGTTTTAATAAAATCTATGTTCTAGTTTATTAATTACTAACTATGACAGACACAGTTGTGTCTTTTTGGCACTATGTCTCAGGTAGCTTTTTAACTTCATCTGTCTTTGCTTCGCAGACATGGGTATGTTTGTGCCACCAAAGTGATGAAGCTCAGGAGGATCCTAGAGAAAGTTGAAGCTGCCTCTGGGTTTACCTCTGAAGAAAAAGGTGCATTTTGTTTTTGTTGTTCAGTAACACAAGTTTATTCAATTTCTTAAACAATTAATAGCAACTAAAAGAAAAAATAAGTAGGTCCTCTGGATGGGTTCTTCTTTAGTAAAACGTTTCGTCTCTCCTCCAAGAGACTTCTTCAGTCTGATGAGTTTCAGGTAAACTCAGCCTTATAAGCACTGCCTCCACATGGTGGACAAACAGGTTAGTCACATGCAAAAGAGGGCCATCCCCTAACAATAGGTTTGATTAGCCCATYCAGAGGACCTACTTATTTTTTCTTTTAGATTTGTTTCTACCTGGATTACTGAGATGCATCAGGACAACTGATCGCAACGTTTATTGCTTTTTGAACTGCAGATCCTGAGGAGTTTCTTAATATCCTCTTCCATCACATACTGAGGGTGGACCCGTTGCTCAAACTACGGTAAGCGGGGCAGAAAGCTGTACGTGCATGAATTTTACTGTGGTGTTCTCAAGGTTCGAGAAGTGCTTAAATGTTAGATACAGTGCTTGAAAACAAAATCTGTAATTAAATAGACTTGTATAGTAAATTTAAAAAATGCATTTAATTTACCTAAAGATTGTTTATTTTGTAATTAGCTGATTTGACATTTTTTGGATCTTTTTATTCCTCATCTTTTGTAGATGAAATGACAGTGCATCATTCTGTGCATTTAAAGTCATTTGTCATCTGAGTTCTAGTAATGAGGAAGTGAAATCATCCCTTTGAGTAAAAAGACTGTTTAAGGACACAGTGCTTATCAGCATGCAAACCTGAGGGGAATTGACTGAGGGGAAAGAAAACAACACATTTCAGTGGGTTTTTGCCGTAAATAATAACACATAATATTGTCTCTGTAAAAGTTGAATAGAGAGAGCGAGTATAGTCAAAATCACTAAATCCATAACATGACACAGAGAAATATAAATCCAGTTGATTCATTAGAAAACTCTGTCGTTTTATTCACAGATGTCATCCAGTGCAGTCCTAAATCTGAATTATGTACATTTTACGCTTCATTTCACTTGCCGACAGCGAGATCACAGCTGCCCAAGTGTCGGACTTTTTCTGGTCTCACTAGGAAACTTAAAGCTAAATTTAGATTTAATTTTACTGTCCAGATGAACAGAAGTAATGGTTCAAAAAGTTTTAATGTGATTTCAAAAGCCACATCTGTATTGATCTGTGTTTATTCTCAGGTGCACCAGGATATTTTTAAATATCTGATTCGAGTTTTATACTTTTTATATTTTAAATGCAAAGTGAAATTATCTAATAATGCAAGAGTAATTCCTAAATTCAGTCAATTCTTATTATTCTTTAAAAATGTTTAACAGGAATCCACTTTAGAAAAATCACTCCTCACCTGTTTAAGCTGCAGTGTTTAAAAGTCATCGTAAAAACTGTCATCATTTTTCACGTTAAACACTTCTTTTGAATAATCGTTATTAAAAAAGGTTTTCAGCATTTTGTAACCTTAGCTTAAAGATACTGTATGTCCTTGTCTGCTTGTTTTAACTTCATTTTATCATTCGAGGAGGCAATTTTCTGATTTTCTTGGCCCTTTTTTTCTGCCACCATCTCCGTACAGCATGAGCTTTCCATTAAGTGACAGCTGATTAATGCTGCAAAAAAATGGTTTCTAATGGGTGCGGCCTTCAAGAGTTGTGTAAATCTGGACATTTATCAACTTCAACAACAAATTCTTCCCTCTTTGTTTTTATAAACTCAAAAGGAAAACCAAGGAAACCTTAAAATGGGGAAAGAAAACCTGACTGGTTGACCGTTGAAATATACAAGCAGTGAAAAAGGGGAACAAACAAGTTTTTGTGTGTTTGAAAGGGGCTGTGGCTACTGGCTTTGACGCTATAAAAAAACTTCCCTTTTTTATTTAAAGATCACAGAAATACTGAAATATGTGAATCAACATGGTTATCTGCTCACCACTGCATTAATCCTGAGACGGAAAAGAAAATGTTTGATGAATTATTTTATTAGCTTGTTGGAAGAGCTTGTAAATGACCTGTTTGATTGATCCTAGAGATAAAAAATGTAATCAAACTCTCGAATATGAATGATTAAGTACCATAAAAAAATAAAAAAAACTTGATTTGTTTCCCAGGTCAGCAGGTCAGAAGGTCCAGGACTGTTATTTTTACCAGATCTTCATGGACAAGAAGGATAAGGTTGGAGTCCCGACGATTCAGCAGCTCCTAGAATGGTCCTTTATTACCAGCGACCTCAAGTTTGCTGAGGTAAATTGTGTTTTATTTAAACCTTTTTTTATTTTCAACACTTTACCCTGATTAAAGTGGCAGTTTCTCTTTTTGTATTCCATACTTTCGCAGTAGTCATTTATGATATTTATGTGCTGAACCATTGAAGGTGTTCATCATTTCATCCTGTCTCTATGTTTTTCTTCTCTCCCCAAGGCTCCCTCTTGTCTCATCATCCAGATGCCCCGCTTTGGCAAAGACTTCAAAATGTTCAACAAGATTTTTCCCTCCTTGGAGTTAGACATCACGGACCTCCTTGAAGACAGTGAGTTGGAGTCAATATATATA